GTCTCCCAAAGTTGGATGGTTTTGGGGTGGTGTTTGTGTATAAATGTGTTATACCATGTCAGTACCGCGGCCGCAGCAATTGGGATTTTCGTACTCTAGCGTAAAACATAATACACTTTCAAATAAATTCAGTAAGTACGATAGTTAAGCCTAAGCTGTGCCCCAAAATTGGTAAACATTTACACAGGATGACAAACACTACCCCAAAACCATCCAACTTTGGGAGATTATATCTCGTCAACGGATTAACGAAAAATGAAAATGTATTTAAAAAAATAGTCTTATTAATTTATGATATTTTTACAGGGAGATGTATATAAAATTAATTTTTACATAATAAAATATATTTTAAACCTTTTGATGTGAAAATATAACTAAAATATTTTATTGGTAGGCTTCAACTAAGCCAGTACCAAATAAGTAATTAACTTTGACTATGTAGTATTCAAGATAAATCCAATAGTTGRATTAGTAAGATATTAAATATATTAACTATGTTTATTCTATAAATATTCTATAAAAGTTTTATCTTAATTGTTTAGATAATACAGGAATATTTTAAACTTGAAAAATTGAATTTAAATTAAATCAACACTAATATGATTTTCATAATTTAATAAGTTTTTAAATGATGAAAAATTCTTTAAAAATTCTATGAATCTAATATAAAAATAGCYACGTACATTTTAAATATTAACTTTGATAAAACTATTTACATAAACTGTATATTTTACTAAGTATTAATGATTTATTATTAAGTAATTAATAGATACCTCTTGAATTAAATTATTTCTATCTTCTTTCTTTGATACATGGCATACTAGTCCTTTAACTTTGTTAACACCATAATCTTTTTGAAGTTGTTCCAATGCAATTGCAACATTGTTTTTCTTACGGCTGGAAATCATGATAGATGCTCCATCGTTGACCAATTGTTTAGCTGCAGCAAAACCAATTCTAAACAATGTAATTTAATTTTAACAATGTTTTAAGTGTAAGACAACAATTAATTATTATTAAATTTTTACCCATTAGTGGATGCAGTGATGATCGCTACTTTTCCTTCTAGCGGTTTGGTGATGTTTGAAAACATTTTCTTTATCTGTATTCCAAATGAAGTCAAAATTGGGCCGCTAAACTTTTGAACACAATTCATTGAGAAATATTAAAATATTATTATAAGTAACCTAAGTATTTTTTGAAATCCAATATAATCTATTTAAAATTTTGTTTTTTTAATCCAGCTCCAATTTGATGGTCTTTGAATTCACAGAGAACTTTTGGTTGATATATGACGTAATGAATAGTTGGCAAAGACCATCAAAGGTAAAAATAAATTAATTAATTGCCTACCTATACGGTTTTTACTCATTCGAAAGTGTGGCGAAATGCCATTGCSGTTAGCTCATTTATATWGGTTTTTTTTTTAATATACCTATTAACAGTAAATAGTTTTAGGCAGTAGTTATATGATTAGTTATTACTCAATAAAATTACTTTTGTGATTACCATAACTTTCTCTAACCATCTTATCACAATCATGTATTGATAAACTTAATATTATTCACAGAGTAATATATTTAWTATTATGTTAATTGCTTAATTTTAATACCAATCTATGGTTGTGCTACGGATTTCTATACTAGACTATGTAGATATCTGTAGGCAGTGCAACATRCAAGTACACAGATTCACATTCGACATTCTATACGTCTTCCTTAGGACATTCTGGTTTTTCTATTAATTATATTTATAGAGYAATAAAACAACTAGGTACTGTCACGGAATGGCTTGATTCTGTAATATGTATGTTAAATGTTAAATATTATATAATATTGTATAATCATGACGGATCGAAGAATAATATGTCAATTGCTTATTAAAGTACTAATTATTACTACATATTATAATGTCTAATTAGTGTCATAACGCCGTAGTAAAAATTTGAAGTATTAGATRGTGAATAAATGAGAAAAATAAACTAGTCTTGTTTTTATTTATCTGACAGTCAAATAATTTGATCTAAATAGTATTAGATTAAAATATATTATAAATTATAATATATAATACTAAATAACTAAATCGAGTAAATCACCAAAAACGGCAAAAACACGGATATATAAAACTGTGGTGATAAATTCAACAAGATAAGGATATCAGTTGTATAAAAAAATAAGCGCTCGGCTATCTTTCTTGCCAAATCAATTATAATGATAAAAATCTCGCTTACATTGCTTAATGCTTATAACAAATCTTACTATTATAAYTTTAGTGACTGCCGACTGGTTGGTTATATTAAAATTAATATATGAAACAAAAAGCAATAATGTTACAATCTTAAAGAAAACCACYCGAAGGCTGAAATCTTGTTTCCATTATTAATTTTCTAAGCTTTAGCTCAAATGATGGTTTTCGAAATTATTAATTACWTTACTAATACAAATGCGAATTAGCAATTTATGTAGTGGTGATTTTAGTTATGATTGRCATTCATATAAACAAATTTAAACTGAAAAAAATGATTATTCGAAATAAAACTCTAATTAAATTATTTTTTATCTTAATTTTTTGTACGATTGTTCTTTATGTGAGCAAATATAATTTTAATAATAGATACGAATTTGTGCAAGGAAAAGACCTTTTAGAACAAGCAATCCAAGCAGCTCAATTGGGTGGCATTCAAGTTGAAGCAATCCACAATGAACATTTGATTAACTCCCACTCAAAAGGAAAAACTGTTGAAGGTGCAAATGATCCAGTCACTAACGCTGATTATACATCTCATTGTGCTATGTATTATCAGCTGAAAAAAAATATACCAAATGTAAAAGTATGTATAGTTTACACTTCTCAAGAAAATTTAAATATATAAAGTATAATATAGACTCGTTGTCTCTAAAACAAAAACATTTATTTATTTAATGAAAATTTACAATCTATACAAGTGAGTACATTAAGTGATTTAGTTGAATATAATATATGAGGTATTGAAGATAGAAAATATTGAGTAGTGGGAGTTTCACATTAGAGACACCTAAACATGAGTGGTGACGACTAAATGTCTAATGCAAACATATTTGATGAATGGTTACTTGTTTTTAATGTCAATTACCTACAATATAATCGCACAGAAGTCTGTGGATGAAGTTTGAATTTTCTACATATTCGTTTCATATTCCAACTTCCTCTGCAACTCATACCTATGTAAAGCTTAAATATTTTACAGGTGATATCAGAGGAAGAATTATCTGAAAAAGAGTGCAAAAAGTTAAAAATAAGAAAATTAAGGGATTTTGATAACGAGCATATTATAGCAAATATTGATGAAGAATTTGAGAGGAAATATATAACCATTTGGATAGATCCATTAGATGCAACACAAGAATTTACTGGTAATAACAAAAACAATTTTTAAATCATAGAATAAGCTTTTAAAATTTATCAGTTATGTTTTTTTTTTGTAGAAAGTTTGACACAATATGTAACAACTATGGTATGTGTTGCATATAAAGGTAAACCTATAATGGGTGTTATACATGAACCGTTTTCTTCTAAAACAACTTGGGCTTGGCTCTCAAAATCAAGATCAACTAATTTCAACAATATTAAAGTAAGTTGACATTAATAATTATATATTAACCATGAAATTATACTGAATTGTACATTAGGTAAAAATGTATAAATTATTTTAATTTTTGAGACCAATTTTATTCTAAAATAATGAATATGCTTTATTTTTATAAGTTCATTAAATAAATGTCATTTATAACTTATAATGAGAGTTGTATATCTTGAATTTCCCAGAATATTATTTAGAATGGTATAAGATCATAACTTCTTTCTCGCCAAATGTAGTATAATCAAATTATACATATACTGGGTAGATAAATGKTATAGTTATTGGAATTTATATATCTTCAGTAAAATTTTCCCAGTAAATATAATTCAGATTTCATATTAACATAATATCAGGAATGGATTAGAGTTTAAGAATTTAGGACCATTCTGGGAAAAATGGCCCACTAGCAGTCATGTATTTGTCAAGGGCTTGAGAGCAACATTTGTACTGTACTGAAGGTAGTAATTTTATTTAATCCTTTAAAGAAGTGATAAATATTTTCTAGCATTTTATAATGTATTCATTGCCTCTACAAAAATGATTTAATTTTATTAGTGAGTTTTGTATAGACAAACAAATTGTTAGATATAACTTTTAGTTTAAAATCACTTGGCCGACTTTAAATAATATGTTTTATTTGAAAAATACTACAATATTATTATATTTAAATACTTTTTACTCAAACGCCTATTTTATCAGTAGCAATAGATAATATTAATAATACAATAACACATAAATAAAACAGAATAATACACTAATCATAAAGTCAATCTTTAAGAATAAATTGTATTGTCGATTTTAGTATCCAAGAGGTTGATTTTTTGATTAGAATTATTTTCACTATACAGAGTGATTCTTTTATCAAACAACACTCATTATAAAAACTATTGACTTTTTAAATTTTTATTTTTCAAAATTTTAGATCCATCTTGTTCTTGAACTATATATTTTTTAAATATTTTCACCCTTATATTTATCAGGTAAACCATT